AAGCTGTCGTAAGATTTACTGCGAGCGGGAAAATATCGGAGTTGACAGCGTCAAGCAGATCCTTTGAACTGAAAGGACAACGAAATGGACCTGAGTAATGTGTCGCATTCATTCCCTTTACGCTTGATCATGAGCTGTTGATTTCTTCGTGGATAAGGGCAATAAGTAAGTTCGTTGCTTAATCAGAACGCGGACCACTGGAATACCCGTAGCGTCGTTAGTAGCCAACGTTGACTAGCGAATAGCGCAGTGTTGATACTATGGTACTCGTCTTTAGATGATAATAGTATGTTTTTAACATGGCGAATGTTGGGAGGCGGACGTTCCTCCTTCCCAGTCCGCCGTTCCGCCTGTATTCATGTCGTCAGGTTGTGACAGCACTTCCATCCCTTTTACTGTCGATGAATCGATGCTTACAGACACTGGGCACAAGCCGCTCGAATCGGCTGCATATGCCCACTGGTTCCCGGACATCGGTGCCCTGTTACCTTTCCCTTCCAGCTAACTTCACTTGTCGCAGAGACCGCACTAATCACCAGATGCAGATTTCCTCACACGCACGTTCCGCTTAGATTTATCAGCGAATTCTGAAAATATCTAAAACGACTTGACGCGACACTCCTAGGTGTTTAAAAAAAAAAGGTCAATATATGCACTGGATATCATCATCATCATCGTTTCTGATGGGCATAATTTACAATCCCTCTTATGGAATACCTAATCATTTTTATGAAGCTCATAGCGTGATTTCTCACGCAACTATTTCGCTTCACACGGTTGTGAAACGCATGAGCTTTACATTGATAGCATCCACATCAGGGATACCGAACTATTAGGGCGGTTACAATTCTCATTTCACACGTTTCCCTCAAATTATTGATGAAATTATTTTCTCAAGAAATCAACGTCAGCGTTACGCATCACTGCTGCGTAGCATAGGCTGCGAATACCGTCGTTACATTGTTTACCAGTATTTAAATCTACCAACAGTTATCAGGATGCGTTTACGTCCATTCTCCTAATATTATGAGAAGGTTAAGTAGGTCGTACTATTCTTGGTTCTATTATAGTACTTCGTTCTCTCGAATGTGCGATACGGAAATCAGGAACAGCAGGTAACTAAGACCTTTCGACACGATATAAAGCCAGCTTGTAGCTCCTTGCTGGGCAGAACCTGTCGCCAATATCAAGCGTATAGTGTGTTTTCAGCTGAGCACACGTTTCCCTGTTCCTTTCAATTTTGAGTACGACGTTTGGTATTCTAGAGGTTAGAAAAAGCGAGCTATTACTTCTTGTACAACCAGGATCAGCTCTTTTCAAGTTCAAAGAAGATATGTTTCATCGGCGATTTCGAAAATAACTAAAAGATGACACATCTTTGCTTTGATATTACAAAGCAGAAAGAACATCACGCTCATATCGTTTTTCTGTTACTGACTGTGAGTTGCCGCGTAGAAAAGCAACTCTTCCCAGCGCTATACTTCCGTTTAACACTGGCGTAAGCTACTTAATCCGATAGTCAGTGTTAGACTGTACAGAGGTATGGCACATCATGCTCACAGAGCTGTCGCAGAACCGACAGAGCCCTTTGCAAAGGCATATCTGCCTGTCCTAGAAGTCCTTCTTTAAGCAAACACAAATGATACAAGTGCAGTTCGCACTTGATTCGATACGAGTATTTTGAGGATGAAGAGGTCTGTTTCGGTAGGTGACCTCGCTCAAGGGATTCGAGCTCACTTTTGAACTGAATTCCATGAAGTTATTTAAGTGAAATAGACGACAAAATTTTCAATAGAAACCAATTCTCACGCTCACGTACTTTGAAATGAGTCTACTTCTAAAGGATCACAGATTTCGCAAGCCTTTCGATAAGATTGTTCCAGATTAAGCCTTTGTAAGCAGCAGTTTAATGCTTCTCAGTAGATCAATAATGGCGCGCACGTCATGCCGCGTACATCGTACTTTTTGGACAAGACTCGAAGTTTTCGAATCAATTACGCCTAAATAGAAGCAGAACTCTTTCATCTATGAATAGAGTAGTTGGGATAGCTCGTTATCACCGTTATTACTTCATCGAACGTATTATTCAAATAATTGTTGTACAAAATAGTAGAAATAACTGACATATAACGTTGAACGAGCGCTCCCTAATATTTTCTTCGTAAACTTGGGTATCTAGACTAGTCAAAACGAGCATTTTGGACCCTTCGTCATAAGTAATAGCCAACTTAATAATTTATGTAGATCTGATAAGAAGTTACCAATACTATGCTGACTAAGCGAAATACGAAATTTACATAGCCATCAACTGTAGCGTGTAGGCGATTTTTTCAGAAAAATCTTTTACCTTTTGCTCACAGTTGATTATTTGGCTTCGGGATCGCTTGCGTTCCTCTTATTTTCTCTGCCCTACCTTGATCTGACTGTGAAGAATAGGTATGTCGTGTATGGGCCGAAAGGACGATTTGAGCCTGAGTCCCTGAGAGCCCGAAAACGGCCAAGTGTTTTCAATGGCTGCCCCATTTCGGTTCCTATTCCGAAGACTGTTGAAGTTTCTTGCTGTTTTCTGTGGGCGGCCACTTTTGAATCTAGCCTTCCCTCCCGTTTCCTCAACTGAGTGAATTTTCATCAGTGAGGTTCCATATTGGGAATACCGGCAATAGTTTTTGAGCGCCTAGGTAGATGGAAAACGAGCAAAGGTATATACGTCCGTTGTTGCTGGTGCTAAAGGAGACGGCATTTGAAAATGATCCAACATCTGTTTTTTGTAGCTTATGAGACCTCGTCTGCCTGTTTGTTCTTTCGTTTTCTAGTGGTTGCTTCGACCCGCCTGCCGGGCTACCAGCCTGTCCTGGCTACGTAGACCCTCACAGGACACAGGAACAGACATACGTACCCCGTCCGCACGTATATAATCATGCACATGAACACGCTTGCAGCGCTCGCATCACCTAACAGCTGCACTTACTCTAGCCGAAACGTGGAGTAGATACGCAGGAAAGGCTCCGGAGATTTGACTGGTTGGCTGCCTAGGTGACTGGTTGGTTATTTGCTGAATGTAAATTATGCGATTTGCCAAATGTGGCACAAACGTGCCTGCGCTACTAGAGATGCCAGTTCTGCCCGCTGTAGCGACGGCTAGCGTTGCCGCAGACGGTTACTTACAGCCCTCAGTGCAGCAAGCTGTAACATATAACATGAAGAGACGGCGCACTATGCACATGCCTCAGTCTGTTGCTTCTCCTTCTGTATTTTGAAGCCACGCTAACGCTAGCAGAAACCGATACGAACATCATGCGAGGGGAGGCGAAATCGGTGGAAGAAAAGAAACACAACCCACCCTAGCAATCCTGTAAAGGAAGCGAAGTTTCGACGCTTACCCGTCCGCTTCCTCAGTTTACACTATGATTCGCTCTCCGGAGAACTGAAGTTCAACGAGCGATGAAATAAGGACCACTCAGTATTTCGCGGATAAATGCGGGCCAGTGGCAGTCGCCGACTGCCAGCAAAAGTCGGCTCAGATAGAGCAGACGGAAGCCGCCATGGCGCTGCAATAGTAAGATCCAAGACATCCGCCTGCCTGCCTCGAAGTAGCAGTAGAACATCAGGAAGTGGAGAACGTAATGGTACTGGCGCCGATGGGGTTTGCGGAAAGCCCTGTTGCTCTCTGGTGGCTAAGCAACTTTGATAACGGTCGGTGTGGTCGGCTCGGGCTTTTCGGTTTGACGTTTCCTCCGACGGCTGGCAAGACTTGTGAATACCTGCCAGGGAGTATTGCTCAGTGTGAGCAAAGGCAAAAATAAAAAAAGGATACATGCTTGAGGCGAACGCAGGTGTCTCGAACCCCGAAGATGTGTTAGTCCTCCTCAAACGAAAAGAAAAAAGATCTCCCGTAACTGAAGAGAGCAGGAAGAGAACGACGTATTGCCGCATTGGCTGTAAAGGGCCAGAGCGGAGGAGTACGTGAGGGAGGACCCAAGCGGCTTCAGCATCAATAACGCGTAGGAACTGCGGTAGAGGCAGCAGGAGCCGTAGAAAGATTGGCGGCCGAGTCGCCGGGATGGAACGGGGCTGCAGGACGTTCGCTACTGGGCAGACACAAAAAGCGAAGTTTGCCCGTGGATGATGACACATGACGTCTTGGGAGCATTGTGTGTTCCACCGCAGATCTTCGCATGAACGGCCACCATTAGCAACAGCAGCGGCAGTAACGGCGACAATGGTAGTGGTAACAGCGGCTCAGCAGTTCGCGTAGGAACAGCAGTGTGCGAGCAGCCGAGCAACCTGCTGGACTCCCGCTAAGAATTGGACCACTGAGATTCTCGTGCTTCCACTACTGTAACTGTTGTTGTTAGGCGGTCGAGTCCCGCTATCATTGCTACCGATATTAGACTAACTTCTGCGGTAAGTGGACCCATCCACTGACGCCTGGGATAGGCAAGGAGTAGAACACGGTCGTTGGCACTGATAGGCAATAAATAGACAAAAAAGGGTAATTGGAAAGACAGAGAGGCAGATTCAGACAAGCAAACAACCACTTCGTCTGTGGGCTGTGTGAAAACGACCAAACCTTTTCGGGCACATATCGATCATACGATGAAGCGCTACTACCGTGTACCAGTGATGTTGGTGCTATTTAGTGGGAATGCTTGGTTTTACTCCAAAGCAAGATAGTCAAGCACACTAAATAGTATTGATATCGTTGACTGACAAGATTGTCCGCGTTAATTTTTTAATAGCTCACATGTTGCTTAGGTTAAATGTGAGCTGTTATTCAGCCTTCAATACTAAGCTTATTTCAGTTACAGGAATTGTTATCACCCAATAGATCCAAAATATATCCGAGTTTTTTAAGGTTCAAAGATGAAATCTGTGCCAGTAGCTTTTATATGAGCGTTAGACGCATCTCTTAGGTATATTCATCGAATACTTGAAACGTTTTTTGCTTTCAACCATGCTTATGTAATAATTAAATGAACTATAATTGCTGGCTGTTACAGTATGTGGTGGACGACTTCAGGCTCGAGCAGGTGTCCAACATATCTATTCACACGTCAAATATGGCGACCAGGACTATAATAACGGCGCGGATTGCGATTGGCTTTTGGAGGCCGAAGGCGGTACCGGTTTTGTTCGATTGCAATTTATGGCTTTTGAACTGGAAGGCAAGTGACTGATGGCTATATACCATTGTGTAGAGTTTAGGTCAGCTAATGTAAGCTACGTCTAAAATTGCAAGCTTTTAAGCTTGTAAGTAACGAAACGTGATAGGTATTCATATATCTCTAATCAGCAGGCAAGAAAACAAGGGTAATCCTTGAAAACTGCTTAATCAACAGACTGTCTAAGTACGATTCTCTTAAAAGAAATATAGTAAACCTAACACCCTGTCGACGACTCTGATTATGAGGAGGGTCGACCTAGCAAATGTCGCTACGCGCTCTTTACCTTCCTTTTTAAGGGATGCCCAAAATATAAAAAATAGGAAGTATCGGCTATCTTTTACGTTACGCACGAGTTGCATCTGATACCAAAATATTTTTGGCAGATGTTGCATGGTTTCAAGTTCTTGAAACCGATTTCTTTGCACAGTCAATACGCGATTTTACTTCCAGTAAAATGTCAAACGTTCGAGGTTTTTTCGTGAGTGAAATCATCTTAACAATTATGCAGTCTTGAAGCCAGAGGCAAAAGCATATCAAATATGGCTTGTTTTTTTACGTTTCTTTTTACTCGCCTACTTACTTATACTTCATTGTGCGACCGTACCTTTCGAATGGATAACGGCCGTATGATAATTTTAACCGTTTTCAACTGAACACGGCCGTAGCAGTTGCGAAGAAGATGTTGTAAATGTCGCTGGCAAATACTCGTTCTTCTCACTTGCCTCTGCTGCAAAATACTCCATGTACCTCATCATATCTTCGTATCGACTGCCACATCGTTATGTATCGTCCCGCTACAGATGCTGTTGCTGCTGGCGCCTCTATCATCGTCGTGATCGTTATCCTTTCAGCGCTGTCTCACCGACTTCAGTGGCTTTTTCCCTTTTTCGTTCATTGTGCAGCTATTCTTCTTCTATATGTCCTTTTTTTCGTTGCCTCAATGTTGTCGTTGTTTCCCTCTTCTGCCAACTTTGTCTTAGTGTCGCAGCGACTTTTGTCCCTTTTTTGGGATGGCGTCCCGCTCCTCATACTTTTTCTTTTCTGTTTATCTTTTGTCTTACAACGGGCAAGGAAGACAGACTTTCCTTCGCGCCGTGCCCCACGAATACTGCTGTTCCAGCATAGACCGCTCTCCGAGCAACCGAGCCCGCCCCTGGCCGACTGCGGATGTTCCTGCGTGTTTTCGTAGGTTACTCAATGTATTTGCACGCCTATCCTACTCCCGTGATCTGTTTCAGCTTTCCCCTCGGTTACTCGCATGTTTCCCCGCTAACAGCAGCCCCGATTCTGCCTCAACACCACCGTTCCACTCCAAAACGGCCTGTATACTGCTTGTGTGTATGAGTTGCCCCCTGTCCTCTCCCAACCTCTGTTGCCTCTGTCATGCTCATACTTTGGCTGCTGGGTCTGTCTCTATTTAGCGGGCTTGCTGCTTTGTTTGGGCACATGAGCTCGTCTGGTTCGCCTTCGACGGGCGAAATTTCACTGCGTCCTCCTCTCTCTGTCCTTTTATTTCGAGTACTCAACCACCGGCAGTAGCACGACCAGAAGAAGCCGTAGGATTATTACTTTCCAGTCGAAGTCCCGTCGTACTTGCTCGATTTACCGCTACTGCAGTTTCCGCTGTGGCTTCGGTCGCCGCTACCGCTCCTTCGATTTCTCTATTGGGCCTCTTGTTGTCCTGAAAAATAACGACGCCCACCGTCACCAGCGGCAACGTGGCTAAGGGCTATCCCTTTTTCCGACATTTTTCTCAACGATACGCTGTTTGACAATGCATCTCTACGCAGCGGTTGTTACGACCACTATCACCGGTTCTTCGCACACTTCACCAGGCCGAGTTTGTATTTCTCACACCCCTTCCACACTGTCCAATACTTTCTTCTGCTCGATCACTGAAGTTGCCTATCTGCTCATCAAAGTACTTCTTTGTTCAGAGCAAAAGTAGAACGCAACGGACCTTCGACATTGTTCCCAGCCATCTAACCCGCTTCAGTAGAGCGTGTCTAGCTCGCAATTTGTAATTAAGATTCGAGCCCGAGGATACACAGTTTGACTGTGTCTTTAAGATGCAGGTTGAAGCTTTTAGACGTAGTATGAACCTGGTATTATAGCAATCACGTTTTACTAGAGCTGAGATCTATAATTAATGGGGAAGACCTTACACTTTTTTTTGGCGAAAACGCGAGTTTATTAAGTTGACATAGCAGATGGATACAGGCTCCTGAAGCCAATTTGCAACAATGTCAAAAAAGCTGAAGTTTTTATATGAGTATGGACTATTTTATCGAAAGACTGAGCTTCAAATTATTCGCGAAATTCATCATCATCATTATCCGTTTAGCGCTGCTAGTAAAGGTTACCACTCAGTAGTTCCGCCCAGTAAAAATATAGTAAGACCGCAAAAAATTTTTCCCTTCAGACCAAAGTGACGTGGATTACACCATCCGGAGATTGGTGAGATGTTGCAGTTTTCATCAAAACAATTCAATCTACCTTGGTTCAGTCTGCCAACTAACTGACTGAGTAATTCAAATTGTATACAGAATTATCTAGCTGTTTCAACAATTAATATCAGTGATGTTATCTTTTACATGCAGGTGATAACCCTACGGATTGCGGGTACGATTCGCTGACTCTATACGACGGCTACGATGATTCAACGGAACCCCTTAATGTATTTTGCGGAACAAAGGTTAGCATCTGATGTTGTACCCGTACGTCGGTACGATACAGAAACAACTGCTTTGAAAAAACGAATGATTCATATGTGTAGAGACTTGCGATGTCTTCACACTGAATGCCTCGTAGTACAATGATGTTTGTCTTAATCCCATTGACTTTCAGCTGCCCTCCGATGTTGTGACGGGTCCCGTTTTGTTAGTTCGTTTCAAAACAGACGACAACATTGCGGCTAAAGGCTTTTCCTTGGCTTACTCACTGGAAAGCACGGGAAATAATATCTCGACCGGTCTAACGCGCATTTCACTTAAGCCGCCAGTCTTCTAAGCAAATGCCAACAATGGCCCACAATTGAGGGGCTTCGCCCGTAAGAAAACTGCTACTGTAGTTTCCACTTGCAACAATTATGCGATACGTCGTGGGTCATCGTTAGGAACAAGGGATCTATTCGAGGAACATTTTCGTCTAAATATCAATTGCGCTTCCGTTTGTTCGTCCTAATGGAACAAGCAGGACCTTTGACTAGTTGAGAAGGGAATCAATATATTTAGATCTGTGTATAGTGGTAAATACTTCTCATGACTATAGTTCTTTTTGTCTATGTCGTGTCTCCTTCATACCGAAGAGAACTGAGCGAGTCTGTCTGAGAGGCGTTAAACAGTAGCGAGAATTATGCATTCTTCATTGTGATGTGCGAAGTCGTTAAATGGCTAATACTTCACGAAGTTCGAGGGGACGAGGCAGCCGTTAACAGTGACAGATAACCATATTTTGGCCGATATGATGTTCTGAACTTATTTTACAGAGAAACTTGCTTTCCGGACTAGAAATATAAACGCGGAAAACTATATTTAATGAAAATCTGATCAAGACGTTCAGACGTTCTTTGCAGAGTAGAGTAGACAGAACAATTTGCTTAGCAATAACATCTTATGTGCGTGTTGCCAGTACACGAAGCTCTATCAGTCTATCCCAAATATGTGATACTATATGAATACTTTTATGGCAATAGAGTTGTAACCACCTGAGTTTTTGCGTAGCATTTTATGCCATTTGTCGACTAGCACCTTTTCGTTCTAGTAGTAGCAGTAATAGAGCAATGTATTGGGTAGTTATGTGGTTCGAACCCATTTATTGCGGCTCATTTCGTAGAGAAAGGCTTCTACATTTTAATAAAATTCACTTGACAGGTGTCTCTTGACTCACAAGGGATGACACATTATTAAACCACTAATGTTCAAAAGTATTTTCTATTTGTTTTGCTCATATGTCTTGTTTGGCTAATATTAGAAAACAAATCATCATAGAAATCATTCCGCACAAGCTTGCGCTGTAGCTCTTTTGTCTGTAAAAGCTCTCGGCGGCAGTGTTTGTACAACAAAACGTTTGTGTGCGTGTAACGAAAGCTCATGAAGATACCCATCTTGATCATGAATCACCAAGTAAAGGACATGCGCTAACGATTATGGGAAGGAAAGAAGACAAATCAAAGTGCCAACAACAACAGCAAGTGATGGAGCGACCCAACGCCGATTAAGACAACTATGAACTGCAATCGATCGATACGCTATTGTACATAGAGTTTATAAATTACACTCATTCGTTTTTACGACGGAGTAAGAGAGGTTAGGCTCGAATCACAAAAATACAAACGTACGGCTCGAAACATTTTCCATACAGAGAAATTTTACCTCGAAAGTGTGTATAACATGTCACAACGCCATCGTTAAACCGGCACGTTACGCGAGCTGAGGCGAGTGATTGCCTATCAAAGAAACGAGGCTTGTGAACTTGAAAAATTCGATTTTAAACTAATAATACCACAGTAAAAGGGTGATGGGCATATTTCCAGGGTGGACGTCTCCTATTTGAGGGATATGAGTGGTTTAAAATATTGGTTATACCATTGACTAAACGATATCCTTGCATCACCGCGTCCAACCCGAAGGAGAAAATAACCATGCGTCGATTTAGCAGTATATAACAATGTTCGGAAACTGTCGAAATTTTGAAAGATATTGAAGGCGTTGTCTAAGTGGAGTGTCAAGTTCGTCAGGTTGATTATTATAGTACAGCTGAATTGGACATAGCATCGGCCGACAGGTGTGTCTGTGTTTGTATCGACCATAAGTTGAAGGACGGTGTTATTTAGGCCCATGTTAACATCAACGGTCTTCACCAAAGGCAAATCATTCAGATATTTCCGATCTCGTTGTCGTCTGGGTCGGCAAACTGCAAGGCCATGCGACTAGGGGTAGTTACTTTAAATAAGGGTAGTCGAGTTGAGATAAATACCGTTTTTATAACATGTGAGAAAAGAGGCACCCAGGTGGGGTGAAACTAGCCCGCGCTGATAACCATCTGTTAATAACGGAGATCGAAAGTAAACTTGTTGACCGCAACCGCACAATCGGAATTTAAGTCTGGGAAAAATTAAATGTCGACGAAAACGAATACCATAAAGATTATCGCAGGGATAAGAAACATTCTAAACGGACAGGGCGCGTTGTTGTACATAAGAGTTTTACGATAATTTTATGCATTAGTTTCATCATTACCATTACTGTCTACGTCTGTTCTTTGGTACTTTAACTTACCATGTGTACGGAATAAATAACAAAGTTGTTCTAGATCACAAACAACTTTTACCACCGCGAATGAGAAAAACTATAATGACAGGAAAAATGTAATTGTGTACTACTAGAATGCTATTCCATTTCCACAAATGTACATCAGAAAAAAACACGGTACAAAGCAATTCGCCGTGTACCGCGTCTAGGTAAAAGGATAAAGACCTGATCAATAAATATGATTTATACATAAGGGCATTGCTTTCATATTTATTATTCGTGCTAACTATGGCTTTGTGTTTTGTTTTAATATATATATATATATATACATATATATACGTTTTCGTCCACATCCTCTATAGCGTGTGGTAAAAGTGGTTCATAAAACTGAACTGAGGACGGTGCTTTTTACCACGTTGGGGCTGTGTATAGGCTACATTCAGGAGCGTCTCGGACCATTCAAAGCGGACCAGATTTCGAGAAAGTGTGACTTCCTGCAAGAGGCGGGCATCCAAAAGTATTCATATAACGGGCCGCTTAGTCCACAGTTGCTTGCTGTGACTCACTAGCAACGTTCGGGGGGCCGATTAGCCGAAGCTATATTCAACAGATAAACTAGAAAAAAGAAAGTAACGCAAAATTCGTCACGTTACGGGTATAAGTAGCAAATAGAGTGCGATAGGTCTGGATACGGGTTAGTACTGTTACGGTTACAATTGTGGCTATCCGTCATACAATAACCATTTGCTTCCAGCACCGTTGTATAAAAATATGGCTGTTATTACTGTTATGTTCTCGTAATCTCTACTTTTCGATTGTACCCCGTAGCCGCGTGGGTCTTCCGTTCTCTTTTTATACTTGTCCTATCTGACAACCTTTCCGGTCCCGTAAAAGTGAGTGGCTGCGTAGTAAGTGGGAGGAACTAAAAAGAAGCTTAAAAAAAAACAAGAATTTTACGCTTACCGTAGAAATTGGCAGTAGTACAGTGCACAAGTGCCAAAGAAAACATTCGCTTACCGATGTCTCCCGAATGCCCTTCTCGCACAGGCTACTGTCGTAGCGGGCTCCCTGCCACCTGCTGGGTCGTACTATTATAGAATAGCCTTATTTGGCCGCATCTGCCCATTCCCCCGTCAGCTTTTGCTATTGGTGGAGCGCGTCCACCGGAGCTTACTCTTCCCCAGTAGACAGACGTCGTCGGCGTAGCAACAGGGTACATTTTTAAGCAGATCTCGAGACTCACAAAACCACATACTCACACACGCATACACTCACTCAGGCACATAAGCCTGTACAGGCGTAATACCCGTAGTTACTCTGCTTCGTTCCGTGAAGGACAAGAAGGAATCGATAGTAAAATACAGCGCCATTGCTTCTGTCCTCTTCTCAAACGAAAATAAGAGAAAGCTAGACATGCACGAAGAGCAAGTATCCATACATACATGCACGGAGACATGCGATCGCACTAACATCAGCAATAGCAAGGCCGGCAGTAAGCAACAAGACGGCCCGAGGACTGACACGGACCGAGAACTCTGAGAGATCGAAAGAGAAACGAAAGATAAATGAATAAAATCATTGTTCGGGAAAACGCCAGCTTTCCTCTGCTGCGCCTATCCACGCTTTTGTATCGGTCTGGGACTTCAGTCACCGTTCCTTTTCCCATGCTCAGTTGCAATACGACGAAGGCGACGACGACGACGTAACAAAAGTCGGTCGATTCACTGACGGACTGAAATAAAGGAAAGTACAGTTCTGGGTAAAAGTAAGCTACCCCGTTAAGACACTCCCGCTAGTGCCAGCAGTAACAGTAAGACGAGAATATTTATAGGAAGGGGACGTCTGGTAGGGACAGCATGCGGGCACAGGGTTAAAACAAATAGAGACACACTCAGGTAGCGACAATTTAAATCTAGCCGAAGCAAAAAAAGAAAAATTCCTCTTTCTCTTATCTGAGAGAGAAAGAATGATAGGGATAGGTGCACAAAGAGACAGAGAGAGAGTTGGAAGAGATCGTGCGACAAACGTGAGGTGATTTGTAACATCGCTGTAGTGGCACTTCAATGATTTGGGACAATTCTGAACAAACACGTTGCATCGGTCATTACGCGCGATGGGCAACTAGTTAACTACAGATGTTACAGTTGCCCACTATGTTGTCGACTAAAATTGGGCCAACAAGTTTCGCTCTCGAGAGGAGCTTATGATCCCTTGAAAAATGATCGATTGTCCAAATGCTACGACTTGATATGTTTGAACAGACTTTATTTGGGTGTGACGACGGATAGAGAATCAGACCGGCGATATGTACATACACAGTTTCAGTTTTCTACAAACTCTGAGTTTTTTAAATTAAAATGTATACAATAGCTTAATATAACATCGTCTCACTTAAATTACACTGCGAGTTTGCATTGGGCCCGATAGAGGGTGTTCTCAATTAGCGGCCTCTTTGACACTTCCGAGACTTAGTCAACTGGACCGGAAGCTTGGTCGTGCATCAGCCCATTTGACAATATACAGAAATCTGTCAACATGATGCAGTTTAGCTTCTATTGATTGAATACACAGACCTTTATCACTCAAACTGTTCACTTCTGTATCCGGAGACAGGGGCACAAAATGTTCATTTTAATCATAGTAGTATTTCAAATTATTTCTGGACATTATTGTCATGACAAAAGCAATCCGGCCGTGTAGTACACATTGATGGCAGCGTATTTTTCACTTCGCAAATGACCAAAGGTGCCTTTTGGAGGTTTCTGCCAGCCATGTGTTTCTCTATGAACCACTGATGTTCTAATGGGCCTGCGTAGGTATCGCTTTTATATGTTGCTGTCTCTCGAAACAGAGCTCGTAGTATCGGAACTGCCCAAATATATTCTGAAATATGTATCAAGGTTCTGATAATGGATCCATGTATTATACTACAAACCTACACATACATCATATGTCTATCCCTAATTAAAACCTAATTGTAGAGCAACGTTATTAGGCAAATAGTGTGCATGACTTAACAAGAAGCAGTTTTCATTGATTTTTGTCGTTTATACAACGTATGAGTCTATTAGGCAAACGAATCAAAATTCCCATAATATACCCCCATTTTGTACCCACTAAACACCTACTGAAAATTGCCTATGTCGACGATCAAATATTCTACTGCAACTAACTTATTTGATCAAAATAATACCAGCTTTAGCCGGAACCGTTAGGGCAAGGTTCAAAACTGTGCTCATATATCAGTTTTAGAGAGCTCTTCGAGCTGCTACGCCACAGCGATCGCCTTAATCGATACTTGTCTGCACAGTGTTAGGCTGCCCTTTTAGGTCGGACGGTTATCCAGTGATGATGTTGCCCGTGGTTCAAGGAAAGTTGTCTGACAGGCTGTCTAGTAGTTGGCTGTGTATGCTACACCTTTTATAGAAATCTAGTTACATAGGTTAATTGCCTGGATTACCAATGAAGCAGCATCAAACCCCCATGAAAATTGAAAAAGAAAATAGGGAGACATAAGGCCACGACCTTGGCCCTAGCTGAAAACAGGGAAATAGTGGTCTTTCCGGTAACGCCGCTGGCTGTTTAGCCTTTCGCGGTACAGTATTGCTTTTTTGTGTTTCTTCCTTATCTTCGTTTCAGTACTCAGGCCAGACACCGGCTGTAGTCGGGCTGAAATGGGTCGAAGCTGATGCTGCTAGCCTGGAACCGCACGAAAAGAAGAAATCAGGCATGCCTCTTTTCACCGCACCTGAAAGCAGCGTGAAAGCAGCGTGAGGGGCCGCTAGTTTTCAACCTCTATCATTCGCTTACTTTGTTCGCTTCAATTCCCGACCGCCACCATCTACTGTCACTTGGTGAATCGTATGAGAAGGCTCATGCAGCGGTGCTTGCAGAACGAGTGATGATCGCTTAAACGATACTGTTTAGTCGGCCGGCCCTTACTTCTTGCCACATGGCTGGAAGCAATGCTACCGGGAGTATAAGCAATGCAAAAGTGCGACTCTGGCTGTGGAAGAATGCACGAATAGAGTACAAATAGAGATTGATTTGCAGAAGGGAAAAATTTGAAGGTGGGAGTGCTGCTCAGAACCTACGGAGAGACGATATCGACGGCGAAAGGCAGAGGGAGTAGCTGAGCACAACTTTATGAGTGGATAAAGTTGTGCTGCCCCCTTTCCAATGGGGACATTAACGAATGAATTGCCTCGAACAGCTCTCGGCCCTTCGAACGAATCATAGTGCCTTGTCGAGCTGGATCATCAGTCAACTTGATAAGTATTTTACACACATATACTACATGATGAAAGCGATGAGCCTAAAAGAGGCGCTCATCAGTAACGCACGTAGCAGTTGATGATTTACAATTAGTTTTTTCCCATTAAAACAAACAATTTCATTAATTTCAATGACCATGATGCCCAAAAAAGCTGTTTGTAAATCGCTTTCACACTCCATCGCCTCGAGCGTTTTTTTTTACATACAGTAATTTTCACACAGTACAATACAGTAAATTTCAAATGTTTATACGAGTTGCTTATTTAGTAATGATCAAGATTGGAGACGAAATTAATTTCTCTCGGGGATTGTATTTCTATCAGTACTGCAGTAAAGATTCTTTTCCATAGGTAATTCCTTGTCGTAAAGTAAAAAAATAAAAAATAAAAAAAAACTAAAGGTGTCGAATCTTTACTCGATCTTATTTTAGGTCACGCTTGAAATTCAGAGACCTATTTAACGCATGTAAGGACGCATATGATTTTGATACGAGGTTGATGTTGACCCGCTAAGCTCAAAGCGTCCGGGGGAGGAAAATTCACTTAAACAGAATCAGTATTGCGACACACGTTTGCACAGTCGGTCCCTGCTGTGTTGATACTTCAGGACAACGAACGGCATTTCCGCTAGCTCGATACCAGACGATGGTTTACAGAAATAACTTAAAGGTACAACTATTATGACTGATTGATTAGGTATGTACATATTAAAAAATGGCACATATTGGGAAAGTTGCCTGAATCACAAAGTCACATTTCTAAGGAAGGATATGAACATGCACCATTTGGTCGTGGAACACGTCAAGCCCAACATTTGCTCAAGGTCGCAAAACCAAGTCACTCGTTAACTTGTTATGTAATTTTAGTTTTCACTTGTAACTTATCGAATATACGAATTTACATATTTTATTTTTAAATGCTATGTTGTCGTGTAATTTTAACTTGCTATACGCTGTCAATCCGATAGAGGCAAACGTT